TCTTCTGTCGCATCTTCAGAACCTACGACAGACATACCAGCAGCATCACAGGCAGCACCTGCCCCAGCTCAGACCCAGACCGCTTCAGCAATGCTTCTAGCCACAGAGGGTCAGTCAGCATAGAGCTCAGGGTCAGATGATGATGGCGCCCAGTTCCAGCTTGCTCCTCGTACTTCAGCGTCCGACTCGTCCGCTGCAGCCCCATCGACCGGCCCTTAGGTTTTGGTGTTTGACGCCAAAGAGGGAGAGGGTTCGAGTATGTAGACTCAGGGGGAGCGTTTTTTCAGGGGGAGCCTAGTTAGCTATTAGTCTTTTATATACATTTGGAGTTTTATTTGTGTGATACACTATTACTATTATGCATTTGTGTGTTTACATTCATGCATTGAACTTTATATATGTGATAGTGATATCTACGTGATTGTGATATATGACATGAGTGCTCTCTACTTCATAACTATTTATATGTCATATCATTTGTGTTATGCTCATTTGCCTTGCTTCCGCGTTCATATCTTTTGAGTACATTATGTTGGCTTGGGTCATATAAGCTTGCCTAACTCTTTTGTTCTTATTGACAAAAGCTTATATGATCCAAGCATGATAAAAACCTCAACTCTTTCACATACTCGAGGTGGTATTGTCATCAATCACCAAAAAGGGGGAGATTGAAAGCATCTAGGCCCCTTGTTGGGTTTCGGTGATTAATGACAATGCAAGATTACTATGACTAACGTATGTTTTGCAGAGGCAATTAAGTTAGGTCATGGTAATGAAGATCGATTGGGCAATCATGGATGTCATGCCCCTACGATGGAAAACATTTTGGTTTTCAAAGGATGGATGACAAGGTTAAGGATGACTAGTTCTAAGTGTTAATTGAAGTTGGAGAGACACTTAGAGTAGTTTAGGACTTTGTTTTTCCTTTGGCCGTACTATTAAGGGGGGTATGGATGGGTAGCTTGACCTAAGTGAGTCTAGTGAGTTAGGTGTGGTGCACACTTGCTAAGTCTAGCACTAAGTAGCTCCAACAAAGCCCTTAGATCCTATGGAGCAAACTTCATTCACATATGATCGAGAGTTGGAAGTGAATGGAGGGTCAAATACTGATCGGACGCTGGCTCCGGTGCGACCGGACGCTGGCCGTATGGTCCGGTCAGTTCATTTGACCAAGGAGATTGCGTCTGGCGCGAGCGGACGCTGAGTGGTTGAGTGACCGGACGCTAAAGACCAGCGTCCGGTCGACTCCAGTAAGGTTCCAGAAAAGAAATTCTGCGACCGGACGCGTCCGGTCAGTACTGACCGGGCCCTGGGGGTTCAACGTCCGGTCGAGTACAGTAAGGTTCCAGTGAGGGATATTTGCGACCGGACACGTCCGGTCAGTGGTGATCGGACCCTGCCAGCGTCCGATCAACACTTAAACACTGGTGTGCGGGTTGAACTGACCGGAGCGTCCGGTCAACATGACCGGAGCGTCCGGTCACCCCGTAGAGGCACATAACGGTTCGTTTTTCAGCCCTTGTTATAAATAGAAGCTCCACTCATGTGTGGAGTTACTTTTGCTCATTCCAACAGCTGAAACACACCTTAGAGAGTGCCAAGAAGAGCAAGGTCCTAGTGAGGTGATTGAGATTTGAGAATCCTAAAGAGAGCCCTCATTAGAGAGATCAAGAGTGGCAAACTGTGCATCCATCTTTCTCCCTAGGCTTGTTGTGGTCAAGTGAGAGTTTGTGCTTGTTACTCTTATTGATCGCCATCACCTAGACGGCTTGATGGTGATTGGAGAGCTTGGTGATCATCCGAAGAGCTTGTGGATGACCCAACTCAAGTTGTGAGCGGTTGTGGGTGATTCACCGTGACGGAGTGTCGAAGAATCAACCCGTAGAGAGCACTTGATCTTTGCACGGATCAAGGGGGAGCTACACCCTTGCGCGGGTACTCCAACGAGGACTAGTGGGGAGCGGCGACTCTCCGATATCTCGGCAAAACATCGCCGCGTTCCTCCTTCTCTATTTCCTTTGAGCATTTACTTTGAGTATTTACTTTGAGCAATTCAATTCTTGTCTTTACAATTCATAGAATTGACATGCTAGAGTAGGATTGGAACTTAGGTTGCAAGTTATTTGAGTGGTAGAACAACTAGAAACACTTCTTAGGCATAAGGGGTTAATTGGGCTAACCATAGGACTTAATTATTGGAAAGAAATTTAGAATTAGCCCAATTCACCCCTCCTCTTGGGCATCTTGATCCTTTTACTTGGAACCCTTGCGGAATAGATGATGAACACTAATGATACTGATGATACAGATGCTCACTTATGATTATTGTTTTTCTATTCATTATTCATGTTTACCTGATCATGTGTTTATACGGGCTTATGATAAATTTGATGCTACTCAACTGCCAAAAATCTTGACTCATTAAAAGCTAATCACAGTTAAAACAGTGTCAGCTTTTTGAGCCTCATGAACCCCATGTTATATTTGTTGAGTACGACATGTACTTACACTTGTTTTACTTTTCAATTATTTGGATAAAAATCCCGGATGGATACCAAATTGCTAGAGTTTGAAGAAGTAAGGCTTGTGATCAACCAGTCAGTTGTCCCTGTGGAATTGGAGTCTTCACTCGAAGAACAGAGTTGTCTTTTCGCTGTTTGCTGTCTAAGGTTATATCCTTTATACTAAGTATGTTATATATTAAGCATTGTCTATTGATATTACCTCTATTTGTAGCTATATGTGAGATTTGACTTCCTAGGCTCATATACAGTGTGTATCTGGTTTTGTTTTTAAAACCGAGTGCTACAGTGGGTGGCCGCCTCCTGCGTGCCTAGGTTGGTGACTGCGCGGGTCATTGTCCGGCGAGAGCTCCGACACGGCGATGGACGGGTAGTTTTGAGGTCAGAGATTAGGTCCTTGCTGGCGTTGGCCGCGCACCTGAACCCGCCGGGGAGGGCGGAGACGATGAGCCTGATCGTGGACGACATGTTGTAGCCGTGTAGTTGCAGAGGAAGCGGAGGTAGTCCTCTTCCCCGGCCTCGTGGGAATTTACTCTAGTGTTGTGGATGTATTTTAGCCCTTGTTTAGTTCCACCATAATTTCCAAAAAGTTGCTACAGTACCTGTCACATCGAATGTTTGCGGCCCGTGCATAGAGCATTAAATGTAGACGAAAAGAAAAACTAATTGCACAGTTTGGTGGGAAATTGCGAGACGAACGTTTTGAGCCTAATTAGTCCATGTTTGAATACTATTTGCCAAATAAAAACGAACGTGCTACAGTAGCCCCAAAATCCAAATTCCTACAACTAAACAAGGCCTTATTGCTTAAATAATGCAAACAAGCAAAATATTTTTTAGAAAATTTTAACAACAGTTGTATAATGTGGATGACTTGTAATGCTTAAAGCAAAAAAATTATTTGCAAATTTTAACCACATTGATATAACGTGGATGGATTTTAATGCCCAAATAAAGCATAGAAATATACGGTGTCATAGAAGGAAAGCAGTGTCGCACAGGGAATCGGTGCATTTTCTAAATTAGAGGCATTCTGGTCATTTCACAAGACACTTGTTAGCCTGTAAAGCTAACTGTAGTGTCATATAAGGAAACAAATTCAGACACAGTGTCATACAAGGAATTTTGAACTTTTCAAGGCCATACAAGGAATAAGTGAGTTTCACGGGGCCATACAGATAATTCTCTTTAAAAATAGGATAATAGATGCAAAAAAGACGATAGACGATTGAGTGTTGGATTCTTCAATCTGCCGTGATCCTGTGCTATATATATATATATAAAGAGAGAGAGAGAGAGAGAGGGGCGATGGTCATATCTCAATAGAAAACAAGTCCAAATTGTAATATTCAAATTTCCTATGTAAAAACACGTCAAAAACCGATATACAAAGAGTCTGGTTCGGACTATGGCAGGAAACCCGGCCTAGCCGGGTCCCAAACCGGTTAGGCTAGTTTCGCCAGGGAGGGGCGCAGCAACCCAGCAAGGTGCGGCTGGCAGCGTTGGCCCGGCCGGTTAGGGACGGCCGGCCAGGCCAGTTTGGCAGAGAAGGGCTCCATCTCCTCTCCCTTTGCTCCTTGAAGCCCAACGTGATCATCCAAAATATCTTGGGTATTGCTAGCGCGCCGGACGTCTAGATGTTAGCACCCGTTCGGACGCCCATGACTACCCCGCCACCTGTGCAGGCTGCAGCGCCTCCCCCGCCTACTGTGCCTGCTCGTGCTTGCTGCGCCTGCCCACCTGCCCCGGCCCGCGCCTACCTAACATCCACGCGCTCGTTGGCTGAGCGCAAACTGCCATGGCGAGATGGAGGGAAGGGAAGGGAAGGGAAGGGAAGGGAGGGGAGGGAGAGGAGAGGAGAGGACGAGGCGCGCCGCGCGAGGAACACACGAGGTAGGAGCCGAAGCCCCGCCACTTTCCACCAGCCACCAACGCCATTACAGCTGTGCAACGTCCGATCTATTTTTGAAACATTCAGATGAGACATTTGCAACATACGTCTAACACAGATAAAACACTTGAAACATACGATTGAAAACATGCATACACTTGAAACATAGGTTTGAAACGCCTGAAACACTTGAAAATATATGCACATTTAGATCTACTTTTGCAACATCCAGATAAAACATTTAAAACAAAAGTCAAAAACACCTGAAACACTGAAAGACAGCGTTCGCCACGCGGGCACGGCCTACCTGATGGGGAACTGAGGTATAGATTGGTGAGGAGGACAGCGAGCGGATGGAGGCCGCCCTGCGCGAGGCACTGGAGTGGCAACGACGAGGCCGAGCCAAGCAGGGAGGCCGGGGAGGGCCACCGCCTAGAGGGGCCTCGCGAGGAGCGCCATCTCCCTGCCCATCCCTCACTGTACTGTAGTACTAGCAGTAGGATTGCAACCCGTGGTGGAGAAGATGAACAGAAAGTGGCGGGCTAGCTGGGGTACGACACTAGGGTGGGGCGGAGAAAGCGGCAGGGATGAAGAGGTGCCAGCACGGGCAGCCGCAAGGTGCCGTGGTAGGGAGAAGGAAGCGGAAAGGACGGAGGAGACGCCGGCAGAAGGTACGCTCCGGCTGCTACCTGGTTTGCTTAGATGAAGATGAAGGGAGACAAAGGATTGATGATTCTTATTTTTAATATAAGTACACTATATACTACTCGTACTCTCTGGTAGGAGTACTAGCCCAGCGATAAGTCGGAAGAGTGGGCGCACGTCGCATCTGGAAAGGACGGACGCCCAAGTCAGAGAGCATTTTTGAAATTTGTTCAGGATCTCTCTTTGCTGTTAACATATTCTCAAAGCCGTAGGGATATTTTTTATCGCCGACACATCCTACAAATGAAATTTATCCAAACGCTGTTATAAAACCGTGGCCACACACTATAATATGCTTTTTATCCGTTTTCTTTTATATTAAAATCATCTTTTTCTCAGAATTGGACGAACCGTGACCATTATAGGCGAAGCTCATACTTGACATTGGCGATTTTTTTTGTCTCTCGGTTTACGGCGTCTGGGCGGCTCCACTCCAGAAATTCCCCACTTCCTCACTCGATCTCGCTTCCTCGGCACCGCCCAGCACCGGCGCCGGCGCCGTCGACCCCGACGGCTGGTAAACCCCCTATCACCTCCCATTCCCTGTAGTTTTCTCTCGCGCGCGTACGCCCGCGCCGCGCATTCCCTGACATCTCCATCTCGATCCCCCACTTCGCAGATCGAGGCTCTCGGTGGCATGGACTGCTCCAAGGGAAGCGCGGGCGCGGTGGCCGGCCTCCCTGAAGACCCCCTGGTGGAGATCCTATCCCACGTCCCTGCCAAGTCCGTCTGCCGTTTCAGGTGTGTGTCCAAGGCCTGGCGCGACCTCATCGACGACCCTCTCAACCGCAGGAAGCTCCCCCAAACCATGGAAGGGTTCTTCGTCGTAGACGAGCCGATGCGCAGCGTCGACGGTGACGTCGGACATTTATATTTCATCAACTTTTTGGCGAGACCCGTGCCCCTCGACATTGATCGTTGCTTCTCCTTCCTGACGAAGCTGCCCGAGATTGAGGCCCTCGTCTACGGAGATTCCTGCAATGGGCTCCTCCTCTTGGAACACTCCTGGAAGCGGCAACCGGTTGACACACTCGGCGGCTATATCGTGTGCAACCCAGCAACAAAGCATTGGGCGACCGTCCCCCCCTGTGGCTACTGTCAGCCATCAACACCTAATTCATCTAGGAACACCTTTTTGGCTTTCGATCCTGCTGTCTCCCCTCACTTTCACTTGATCCAGTTCTGGAAACTGGCCTGGGATGCTTACTCATCGGTGCACGCTTACTCATCTGAGACTGGGTTGTGGAGTCACGACCAAACTGACTTGGATGAACAGGGACAATTGGAAGGATGGCACCATCAGGGCGGACCAAATCAGGTGAGCCCTCAGCGAGCCTTTGTTAATGGCATCCTGCATTTGATAGTTTTGGATATGGGTCAACCTCAGATGGTTGCTGTGGATGTACAAGGGAAGACAAAAAAGATAATCACAATGCCAGCTGTAGCAGAGGGGAGGTGTTGGTACCCTATTCCTTATATTGGACAGTCCCAAGGACGCTTGCATTACATCAACCATGATTTTGATGCTCATGACTTTACACGGAAGCAGAGCTATGAACTGTCCATCTGGATCCTTCAGTATTATGATACACAAGAATGGGTGTTGAAGGATACAGTGAGCTTTCTTAAGCTCTTTGGAATAATTACAGCAGTCAGGCGGGACTTTCGAATTGTTGCCATTCATCCTGATTGCAACGTGGTTTTCTTTCGTCAGCCCTTCAACAGATTGATAGCATATGACATGGACCGTAAGGAAGTGAGTGTTGTTGTATATTTAGAAAATGAAAATTGGTATACGAATATTGCTCCTTATATCCCTTATTTCTCCGAGTCACCAGCGCTCACAGATAAGCACTGAAAGCGTATGCTCTAACCACGGAGCAGCTAGCAACTTGGTTAGATTGTAATCATTGTATTGAACTTAGGTGAACTTTCTGTCTTTGCTTGGATGTGTCCCTTTGTATGCTTTTGGTCTTATTACTCAATACTGCAAGCCTACTGAGACACTTATATGTAATGTATTTTTATGCTAGTCATACTAATGAATGGAGTTTCCCATGTTGAACAAAGTAAAATTTTGGCAATAAGCTATATCTTCAAATGCTTCCTTTTCACGGCTGTAGTAGTGAGTAATTACTTACCGTGAATTTTGTTTCTTTGGTCTTGTGTATTTATTTATGCTGAGCTAATACGATTATCTTCTATATGTTGCGATGGTGCTAGTGCATGTTATTGAACAGTTTGGGATTGAAGGTTTACAGTAACATCAAAAGCTTGAACCATTTTTTTGTTATTTATGTTGCTGGACAATAACTTGAACCTTGTAATAGGCAGCTTCAACCAGAGCAAAGCTTGTAGTTGTAGATACTGATTGAGTGCTGTGGAGATGACAATTTTTTTTAAATTGATAGGACATGAAATAGATGCCCAGGTTCCATTTTAAAATTAAACTGAGTGTTCGACAACAGCCTGATATACTAGTATAATACAGATATTAACAATGCTCAACCCTACTGGTCCAATACTTTGACACAAAAAATTGACAAAATGCAGAAGGTGAAGCAATACTTTCAGTTCAGCTGTGGTTGATGCTTACTCTGCAAGTTGCTTCTGTGTTTTGTGTTGGGTTTTGATTTGGCTCCATGTGATTGAATCAACTTTGTGTTTCCACAAATTGTGAACTCACTGGTGCTGTTGCAGTAATTTGGCCTCTGGCTCTACTTCGTGTTCAGCTCTGCATAGTTTTGGTGGCAACAGGCATAATAATAAACTCAAAAGAGTGTTAGGTTGGAGTTTGAAGCCTATTTTTGTGTTCTTGTGCTGTGTTCAGATGCATCACAAAGTGTACATTGTGATTGTTAATTGCGCAGCGAGTTACACTGCATACTTTCAGCTGTCTTGATGCTTACTATTTGCCATTGCTACTCTGCAAGTTGTTTCTGTGTTACATGGTACTGCGGCCTAAAGTCTCGACATTATAGTGGGACGGCCCTGTTTATTCACATGTTTAACCATAATTATCATTTCTGACCAAGGCGTGTTGAAAGACCCGGTTTCAGAATATTTGATGATTGTGAGTTTGCCACTAGCAGTGCAGTGGTTTTCAACATCGTATCCTATACTTTATATTTGTGATCACAGCATTTCTTGACCACTCTGCGTCCGATATCACGCAGTGCCATGATGTTTCAGCTGGTAACCACAAATGGGCTGCGGACCAAGTGCTTTCCATCTGACCATGTTATGGAGCCTGACAGGGCGCCCTTGGCCGCCGCGTCGTCGTCGTTCCTGCTGCGGGAGAAGGTCACCTGGAAGGCCAGCTTCTTCACGCTCCTGGTGAACTCGAGCTTACTGGGCGTGACCTTCACGTCCAGGCCGTCCGGCGCGCTGACGGCGACCATGTAGGTGGGCGCCTCCTGCGCGCCGACGTTAGTGACGGCGCGGGTCACCGTCACTGTCCGGGTCCCTTTGCCGAGGAGCCCCGACACGGCGATGGACGGGTAGTTGAGGTCGGAGATGAGGTGCTTGCTGGCGTTGGCCGCGCAGCTGAACCCGCCGGGGAGCGTGGAGCTGGCGATGAGCCTGACCGTGGACGCGTTGTAGCCGTAGTTGCAGAGGAAGCGGAGGTAGTCGTCCTCCCCGGCGTCGTACACCAGCCCGGGGTCCAGCGCGCCCGTCGGGTGCATCTGCCCGGCGCCGAGGTCGTACGGCGTCGCGGCGGACCCGGAGTCAGTCGTCATCGGCGCGCGCTCGTTGTTCAGCGTCGTCGCCGTGGTCATGATGGCCGACCGGATCGCCGCGGGGCTCCACGTCGGGTTCCACGCCTTGACGGTCGCGGCGGCACTGGCGACGTGCGGGCACGCCATGGACGTCCCGGACACGAGGTTGAACTGCGAGGCCTGCTTCTGCCCCGGCGGAAGCGACGACGGCGGCGGGATCCACGACGCCAGGATGTTCACCCCCGGAGCCGCGATATCCGGCTTGAGGATGTTTCCGGTCTGAGATGACGGGCCCCTCGACGAGAAGTAGGCCACCACGGGCGCCGGCTTGTACTCCGTCACCGTGGCCGCCGGCGTGATCGTCGCCACCAGTTGGCTGCTTACAATCATTTCGTGACAGGTACTACGGCGTGAGGCCTAGCTGTCGCTTTTGGTAGCATAGCAATAAGGACCGACATGTATATACCTGGCGGAGGCGATGTACTTGTGGATGGCCGCAGCGGCAGCGGAGGTGACCTCGGTGACCGGGAAGTCCAGGTAGGCGGTGGCCACCGACCTCTCGGCGTCGTTCACCAGGATGCACCCCGCCGCCCCGTCGCTCTGGAGCTCGTCCGCCTTCTCCAGCTTGGACGTGTCGCTCTGCGAGTGGTGGCACAGCACGATCTTCCCTCGTATCTTGCTGCTGTCCAGCGTGCCGGGCTCACAGTGGCTACATGACGATCATCAGAAAGTGAAACGGTGGTGCTGACGAGAAGAAAGTTGAGGATTTTGATCCGTAGGTGAGATGAGTAAGTTTACCTTGCTGAGTCAGTGTCAGAAACTGAGCCAGACTTTGCCGCTGCACCGGTGATCAATGGATACTTGGGGGATCTGTCCAGGTTCGAGAAGTTTATAGCTACACCCTTGACGGCGCTGTTATTTCCACCCAGCACGACGTCGGACTCGAAGTCGCGGTCGATGGTGGTGGCGGCGACGGTGAGGATCCATGGCGCCGCGTTGACGACGGTGGCGGCGTCGGGCCCGGAGTTCCCCGCCGAGCACACGACCATGACCCCCTTGGCGACGGCGTGGAAGGCGCCGATGGCGATGGGGTCCGCGGAGAAGTCCGGGCGGAAGAAGGGCGACGCGCCGAGGGAGACGGAGACGACGTCGACGCCGTCGGCGATGGCGTCGTCGAAGCCGGCGAGGATGGCGGACCCCGCGCAGCCAGACTCGGCGCAGACCCGGTACACGGCGACCCTGGAGCCCGCTGATCCGCCCTTCGCGGTCCCGGGGGCCAGGCCGTAGTACGAGGCGCCCGTGACCGCGTTCCCGGCCGCCGTGGACGACGTGTGCGTGCCGTGCCCGACGTCGTCCCGCGGCGAGCCCCCGTATCTCGGTGAAGGGCCCCGCACGCTGCTGAGGTCGTAGTATCTTGCTCCGATCAGCTTACTGCATGGTGCATGCGTCGGTGGTCGATCGGAACCATCATCAGAGAAACATGAAATGCATGGACGGGGAAAAGGAGAAGAAATGGCGCGCGGTCACTTAACTTGTTGCAGTTGGATGAGTTGAAGTCATCCCCAGTCATGCACACGCCCTTCCACCGGCTAGGCACGGGCCCAAAGCCGGCGTCGTTGAAGCTGGGCGACTCGGGCCAGATGCCGGAGTCGAGCAGGCCGATGATGGTGTCCGTCGCCGGAGTCGACGACGACGGGTCGTCGGCGGGTGCGGCGGGCTTACTACTACCCTTATTCTTATTGCTGCTGCGTCGTCTAGCAGGGCCGGCGGAGTCGTCGGTCTTGACGGCGGCCTTCGTCGTCGTCTGCTGCAGGAAGTCCCAGGACCTGGTGGTGTGCAGCTGGTACACGGGGTCGGCGAACACGGAGACGACGCCGGGCTTCCACCGGAGCGCGGCCGCCTCGTCCTTGGACAGCCGCGCCGCGAACCCGGAGAAGCCGTGCTTGTACTGGTGCACCACCACGCTGTCTGCCCTCCGCCCCCTGGATACAGCAACAGCATGCATGCCTTATTAGCTCGTGTAGTCGTGTGCTGCTGTGACGTGTGATGCGTATATATATGTAGTGGAGAAGCTAAGGACACCAAAAGGTGTTCGATGGCAGTCCTGTCCACCAGAGCGGCCTGATGGCGAGACAAATCAACAGGTGACAGCGGGGAACACGTGCATATATAGAGATAAAGCTCTGTGACGACGACGACCTCTTGAGCACCGTGCCGAGGAGGCGCAGGTGGCTTTCCAGGAGGAGGTCGGGGGAGGTCCGGGGCGGCACGGCGCCCATGTACACGACGTACACCTGCGGCGACGACCTCCTCCCGTCGTCGCCGCGGCCTGCGCCGGCGGCGCCCAACGAAGCGAACACGGCGAGCAGCAACCACAGCATGGTGTTCGAGGACGACCTTGCCATATGCCTGCGTCGACCAAGACAGGAGGCTACTGCAGTGCACAACTAACGACGCTCTGGCTGTGCTCGATTGCCACGAGTTACGCTGCTTGTCTCTATATATAAGCGCAAGCGCTCGCGGTTTCCCGGCGGCCGGTCGATGCATTGCGTGGCTGTGGTTGCGCGGCCGCGGCTGAGGTGGTGCGTGCGTGCGTGGGCTGGGCTCTAGTGGTGCGGGCACTGCCGGAGCGCACGTATGCCGCGCGCGCGGCGTGCACCGTGAACGCCAGTGTTGGAGTGGACAACGACTAGTGCACTAGTGAGCACCTTATCTCTCGACTCGAAGTGGCAGTGGCAGTGCTAGCTATAGCTAGGCCAAACCTTATTCTGTGTTGAGTGGCCGTGCCTAGCTAGGTAGTCCTTTGTCCTTTCTAGCTACATGCTTGGCTCAAAACAAATCACTCTCTTCAGGATATACCACACACTGCTGTATGTACTACAGAGAAGACGAGAAGCGACATGCATGTAGGTACAGCCGTCTGAGATTTGATAATAAATATAGAAAAAAAAAACGCTAATGCTCCCAATCCGGCCTGTCCGGACGCCTTGCTCCGCTCATTCCCGCCTGCACCGCTCCCTCACTCCTGCACTGCTCGCTCCCGCGCCACGCGCCCTCACCTTGCCCGCGCCGCGTGCCATGACCACCACGGGTCTCCATCTGCCAACACCGTTCGCCCCGTCCGCTCGGATTTGACACCTCCACCTCGCCGCGCGGCGCAGTAGCCACTCCATCCATCTGCACTGCGTTGGGGCACATCCATCCTCCTACAGTGACCATCTCCACCGCGTCAGGTGCTACCATTTGCTGTCGTGGCCGCCTCCACCGCGCAGTTTTGTCGCGCCGCCCGCATGATGTTGTGTTGAAAACACGTGTTGCAAACGTATGTTCCAGGTGTTTCAAATATTTTAGAGCTATGTTGTAAGTGTTTCATATGGATGTTGCAATGATAGATCCGGTTGTTGTGCATGTTACAATGGCTATACATGTATGTTGCAAGAGTTTGTTCGAAATGTTTTGTCTATTTAAGACATATGTTGCAAGTGTTATATCTGGATGTTGCATATATGTTGCAATGACTATGTTGCAATTGCATGTTCTAAATGTTTTATCTGTTTCAGACGTATGTTGCAATTGTTTTATTTGAATGTTGCAAAAGTAGATCTAAATAGGGTTGTCGAGCGAGGAAGAGAGAGCTAGGGTAGGAGCCATGTCGGCGTTAGCTGGTAAGCTGGCGGCAGCGCTCCACCGGAGGATGCGCAGGGTCACGTCCGCGCTGGCGTACGCGGCCCTAGAGTGGGTTCTCATCGCGTTGCTCCTAAATCAATGACCTACTCGCCTACGCCATTACCATGTTCACGGTGTACTTCGGGCTTCGTCGGGCGCGGGCAAGGAAGCTTCATTGGGCGCGAGAGCTCTGTTCGGATAGACGCCACGTCCGAAGCAGGATGGGCGTGGACACGGGTGCTATGTCGGGAGTAGACACAGAAGCTGCGTTTGGAAGGACGTCGTGTCCGGACGTCCGGGTGCTAGTGTTGTCCAAAAAAAAAACTCATATACACAAGCACACCTATTTACATTCACACCCAGGGAGAGTTAAACCGAGACATAAGGTGCTACTAAAACTCTTGTAGCCACTAGGCTAGATGCTCTTTCAATCATAGATATAGAAATATAGTCAATTAAGCCAAATATGCCTTGTCAAAACAAAATCACAGCTTGTCGTGGCTCCTAAGAAATATCTGTACTACCATTGGCAAACCCAATTAGCCCATAACGATTTGTTAGTGCATTTTTTTAGATGAAAGAAGAATTATATTAGATTATAGCTGGATACATCATCATGTTACAAGCACTCTAATACACTACATATATCCAGAAACTGATTTTCATCTATATTATAGCTACATTGTAAATAGCTCTAAATCTCAAATCCAAACTTGTATGACGCTTCGTATGGATGACCGCACAGGCAAACACTCGGCAAAAGGCCTGAGAACAGATGCCCAACGAACGACGACCAACATTCCTGCAGGCGGAGTTGAGAAACTTCTTCTTCCTTATGTCTTCCTTCTTCTTCTTTCTGCCACCGAAGAATGAGGAAGACTGATCTAAAACTTATTCTCCCCAGTCCTTCATCGTAGCCAGATCTAACCATAACAAAACGGAGAAGAGACCGGAGAAAATTATTCCATGGCAGCGACATCATCTCCGTCTTAATGTCGCCGTCCGGAAAGAAAAGGATCAATGTCGTCATGCCGATGAAGTTGTTGACGCCGTAGTGCCGCCCTCATCTTCAACAGAGCCGTCATGGAGAAAACAATTTCACCCTGCCTCGTCGCCATCGCCGGAGAGGAGATAAATCCCCAGTACCAAGAAATTTGGCATAGAGAGAGCCTAACCCAAGGACTCAATCTACTTGAAAACTTATGAAAAAACGATGGATCCCCGCTCCCTCCGGCCTCCGACAAGATACCGAAGGGGGAAGGGAGGAGGACCAGCGGTGATGGAAAACGGGAGCGGTGGCGGTGGCGGCGGCGGCGGCGGCGCTAGGCGAGCCGCAACTTGACGATGAAGCGATGCCGCAGATCGACACCGTCACAGGTGCTCGTGCTCCTGATTTGTTAGTGCGTCACAACAGACTTGTAAATCATCGGTGTGTATTAGCACCAAGGTAGCCACCAAATGAATCCACAAACATCGATGGCACAATACACATATATTGGGGGGGAGGATGTGACCATAAGCCGTTCGCTTGGCCGAAAAACACTGTTCCGGCTGAATTGTTGTGAGAGAAAAATACTGTTTCGGCTAAAAAAAAAGCCGAATAAACCGGATTATAAGGTAAGCCGAACGGGACCTCAGTGGAGGATAGTTTTGGCATTATCTTAGTTGGTCAACAAATGTTAGCCTATTGGTAGATTTCAGTTGTTCATCAATTGTCACGTAGATATATAGACAACATGCATAGATGCGGATGACTTTTTAGTATCCAAAACTGTTATTTATGAGACTAAATAATTTAAATAATTAGCACTAATGGTTTAATATTGTCATATATATAATATATATATAACTACTACCCTGTAGCTGGCTACAAAATAACTTATTCTGTGGCCACTTTGAGTTACGATAATTACTATGTTAATTTATGAGATTATAGTAACTCATTGCTAAGTGGTTTAATATAACGTTATGGTAAATATCCCCATACGTTATAGTAACCCAACTATCGTAAATATGTATTAATATTATCATAAATTAGTGTATAAAATTATCGTAAATGGAGGTACAAAATAAGTTATTCTGTAGCCACATCCATTTACGATAATTTTATATACTAATTTACGATAATGTCAATATATATTTACGACAGTTGGATTACTATAACACATGGTAGAATTTATCATAACGTTATAGTAAACCACTTAGTAAGGAGTTACTATAATCTCGTAAATTAACATAGTAATTATCGTAACTCAAAGTGGCTACAAAATAAATTATTCTGTAGCCAGCTGCAGAGTACCAGCTGCAGAGTGTGTATATATATATATATATATATATATATATATATATATATATATATATATATATATATATATATATATATATATATATATATATATATATATATCGAGGACGATCATACTGCGTCTATGTGGAGCCTTCACTAGTAGATAGTGTGTCATGTTGTATTTTCTCATAATTCATTGTAACAAAATTGCTAGCATGCCCGAATCACTCCAGAATCGAATTGGAGCGGCAAAACAGGGAAAGTTGGTTGTTTTAGGTCTCCCGTGAAAAAAATGTATGCCGCCTCTCTAGAAGGATCTATCAGGGTGGCGTACCTAGGGTTGTTCTAGGTCGGCAAGACCACCTAAAGTTGTAGACCAGCAGATACGGAGGTTGAAGGAGCTAGTGTCTGAAATCAGCGGCGGATCCAGGAATAATTTTAGGGGCTGAACAACACATATCTTCGACTGCTGCTCGATCTTAAGTCTCAGCTCCATCTACACTATAAAATTTTGCCTAAAAATTCATGAGAGCTCCACAGGGGTTCCACTGCTCCGATATGGTTAGGGGGCTCCCCCCTTAATCCGCCCCCTGTTTGGAATAGATAAAATAGTAGATACATTATTATGTATTTGATCGATTGGATGCTCTCAGTCATCGATTGTTATTTCATTTGCTACAATCAATAATTATCAGGCCATCGGTAATCTTTCGTGGCAGACTACTCCAAATGAATTCAAAACTTCATCCTACGATAAAATAGAGTAATAGACGATGTGAAGCTTGTTTAGAAGAAAAAAAACACTAGCCTGCGTGTGCTAGACAGGTGGAGAGATGAGGCGTACGTGCAGATTAGGTGGGCGGGAGCTTTTTTATACAGAGGTGGCCACCTCTATAAATCAGTCCGAACCGATCTGCCTCTACAAATTCTCCTATTTTCAGATGAGGCGTACGTGCAGATTAGGTGGGCGGGAGCTTTTTTATACAGAGGTGGCCACCTCTATAAATCAGTCCGAACCGATCTGCCTCTAGAAATTCTCCTATTTTCAGAGGCCGCTCTAATTCCAGCCTCCTCTAAAATAAACAGTTAGAAATAGAGTCATCTCTAAAAATTGATTTGTAGAAGCGGTTAGATCTAAAGCCGTCTTTAACAATAGGAGCAATACAATAAAATTCAAACTTTTCAAACGACTTTAGATGGAGAAATGTCCAGAACCAAAGTTGTGGATCTCAAAAAATTATACAACTTTGTAGTTGATAGTTTTTTCATATGAAATCATTTATCCAAGAAAAATTATATTTGAATTTCTCACATTTGAAATTCAAAATTTTCAAACGGCATCGGATGGAGAAACGATCAAAATCAAAGTTGTAGATATTGACGATATCTACAACTTACAGTTAAAAACTTTTTCATTTAAATTCGTTTAGGATCTTAAATACTTATTTTAAAAATAGATAAAAATAATACGAGCAGAAAGAATCTCTCTAATGGACACAAGTGAATTTTGGTGAATTGATTGGGTGGACTGGTTAAGAGAGTAACACGCGAGGCTGCAGGTCGCACGGTTGATTTGCGCGAAGAATCACGTGACTTACGACTTCTAGTCCTTTTCGTGTGACTTTTGACATACTTCTGGATCTCGTGGGGTCCTCCTTTTCATGTGACTTTTGACATACTTCTGGATCTCGTGGGGTCCCCCTGTTTTTTTTCTCTTACTATTTTTAGGCGTCTCTACGGATTTTTTTTCTATTTTTAGGTCTGGCTTTATGATTTATGGATAATTATTTGTAGAGGTGGCTCGAAATGCAGTCGTCTCTACAAATCGATAGCTAGAGGCAGCTGACTTGTGACTTCTGGACCTCGTCGGTCTCTTCGGATTATTATTATTATTTTGCTATTTTAAGCGTCTCTGTGGATTTTTTTTTCTATTTTTAGGTCCGGTTTTATGATTTTTGGACAACGATTTGTAGAGGTAGCTCAAAATACAGCTCTCTACAAATCGATTTTTAGAGATGACTCCAAACTGCCTCTAAGAAAAACAATTTGCACTGTAGAGACGGCCGGAGAACCACATGCTTGATTTTGCATAGATGAAAAATTAGATCAGCCACCTCTAAACAACCTGCATGTAGTAGTGAGAACTCAAGATGATCGATGGAGCCATCGAGATGTGTTGATACTTGGTAGGTAACCTCTAGAGCTGTAGCGTGGTCACTGGGGTGCCCCGGCCTGCACTACATACCCTAGAAGCTAACGAAACGAATCCCCGCGTGACATCATCGATTCATCGGTATAGCCTAGGCCGCCGTAGTGGGCAGGCGCACAAGCCCAGATCGCCTCATCGGCATTGCATTGTGTCGTGGCGGGTACGCACGCGCACTTGGCCAACAAGTCTAATATTTTCTGCCCACCGCCGCCGCCGCAGGCGCTATGTACGCGCAAGCGCTCGTTGGCGTTGGGTCATGGCGAATTAGCATGCTATCTACTAGCTAGCTACTAAAGAGGAGGTTTCAGATGATGTCACTTCTGCCACATGTCAACTGTACTAAGTGGATGGGCACACGCCCAACATCGAGCTAACCTACATGCACTAGCTATTACTATGTATACTCTCCGGCCCCTACCTCAAAAATAAATATAGTTAGTTATTATACACAAAATAAGTACTACCTCCATCTCAAAAGAATGCAATTCTGGATTAAAGATTAACCAATTATTAACATTTATACATCAAATAAGTATATTAGAAAATACGGAGCATCTAGCGCTCGAACGTCCGGACGGGGCCAGTGTCCAGACGCTCGACCCTGTTGCGTTTGCATCACGTGGAGGCCCGTGTTGCTCCGTGTCCCACGCCCGCACTGTGTCCTGCGCCGCTTCTGTCCCGTGCCTGCACCATGGCACGCGCACGCTTCGTGTCCCACGCCCCCTCCACACCCACATGCATGCAGGTGAGCCCAGCAGCTACAGCAGGTGACTGCTGCAGATGGGTCCCACACTCCCACTACAACATGTGCAACATCAAGATCTACTTTTGCAACATCTAGATGAAATACATATAACATACGTTCGAAACAATTGAAACAATTACAACATACGCCTGAAACACCATGAAAATACGTTTGTAGCCACTGTAAAATATATACAACATTCAGATAAAACGCTTATAACATACATATGAAACACATAAAACATATGCTTGCAACATGCATTTATATGCAACATATAGATCTACTTTTGTAACATTCAGATGAAACACTTGCAACATACGCCTGAAATATATAAAATATTTGGGACATGCATTTGAAAACACCATTGCAACATGTGCAATATCCCGATCTACTTTTGCAACATCGATATATAACATTTGTAACATACCTCTGAAACATTAAAACACTTGAAATAGATGATTGCAACATGCAATTTTAGCGTAAACATCTCCTTGCTGTTTGGGAGAATGGATCTTCATCGGCGTGTGGAGTTTTATTCTGGCCGTTGCGGGCTGCACGCGGGCGAGTTCTGCCCCAGCCACGGTGAACTGGGTAGGCGGACGTGAGATGTGCGTGGGTGGGCTTCGCCCGGGCTGCCGTGAGCTACACGCGGGCGAGCTCCACACCCGCCCACAGCGAGCTCGGAAGGCGGAGGTCTTCTTAGTCGCCGACCAAGAGTCCGGCCCCCGTGGTGGAGGCAGCAGCAGCCTCCCCACCACGGGCAGGCGACGCAGCGTGGCCGGTGGAGCTCGTGCATACGCGGCTAGTAGCGGCGCTCAATGCTCATGCGTATGCGGACGCGCGGCGGTGCTCATGTGGACGCAGGCGCTAGCAGAGCTCGCGCGTCGTCGCGACCGAGGGGCAGGCGGTGTGGTGGAACCGATGCGAATGGAAAAGATAAGATGTCGCTATCTCTTTTTTTTTAGAAACCGTGTATGCCGCTGAGGGCAGCAGGCCTGTGGGTCGGTCTGCAGCCCTAGCTAGCCGCGTCTGGGCTGACCAACGTAGAACGGACATCCATGATAGGGCATTAACGTAGAAAATATGTTTCATGACAAATCTAATGAAACCTATTTAATACGATAAATATTAGGATTTTTTATTTAAATCTGGTCAAACCTAACCTACTTTAACGTAACACTATATTTTAGAATTACATCCTTTCTGAAAGGAAGCAGCATATTGTGAAAATTTATTTAAAAGATGATCTAACAAAACTAATTTGGTATCCTAAATATTGATATTTCTCCAATAAATTTTGTTAAAATCTGACATAATTTGACGTAGACAAACAAAAAACCAATAATTGGACTTAAGTTTCTAAAAAATGGTTATCTACACTGGGCTGAGTACAAACTCATATATTGTACATCATCTTTACATAGCTTGTCTACACTTGCGTGATTACATGGTTGTTATATTTTTCAGAAAGTGTTGGACACTGGTCTTTGGCATGAGTTTCTGGAAAAGGATTCTCCACACAACATGATGGATGTGCTCTAGTTTTGGCAAGTCAATGCTTTTTAGTTTTTGGTCCCGCTCGCTTCGCTGAAAAAACAAGTTGAAACACTATTGTGGCTGATTTGTTGTGAGAGAAAAATATTGTTTCGGCTGAAAAAACAAGCCAAAAAGTACGGATTATAAGATAAGCGAACAGGGCCTTTGAGTTTCTAGAAATGATTGTGTGCATAAGGTACCTTAGTATGTGAAACACAAACTACTAGTATTGCATATTGAGATGTGCATTCATGTAATTCATTTAGTGCTTAACTTTGGTGGATGATGTACACAAACATATGGTGTACAAAACGGATTGGATGTGATATATGTGTTTGTGCACCTTTATGTGACACGTGGACACTATATTAAGCTTGAATCTGGGTTTGATATGTGTAAATGTTTTTTAATCATATTTATTTTTTGTATATTTATATTGCCTGGTTGAACGGTTAGTTGCTATAAATCCATAGAGTATTTTTTTGGGATTAAGGTCCCGTTCGGCTTACCCCATATTTGGCTTGTTCGGCTTATTTTTTCAGCCGGAACAATGTTTTTCTCTCACAACAATTCAGTCAGAACAGTGTTTTTCAGCCAGTTTCAACCAAAATTCAGACCAGTGAACGGGACCTAAGCTTGAATCTAGGTTTGATCTGTTGGTGAATGTTTGATAACATATTATCTATCACTAAAGAATAGTGGTGGGTTGCTTGTTGCTATAAATATTCACATGGTAATAGATGATCAGTCGGTAAAAGTTCTCTCTTCGCTAAAGACTTTTATTGACAACACTTACACCGATTGCACAAGTCTATCGCTATAACTTTTTAGCGACTGATCATGTGTCACTATATCAGCTTTCAGTGACAGATAGTCTAAGCATATCCAGCAGCCCCCTTTCCTAACCCCAAATGAGAAAAAACTGTTGTTTGGAGATCTTATAGCTGCAACAGTTCCCCAAACCCAACCCCAATGAGATTTTTTTTCTCAATCCATCAAATCATAACCTCCCACCCCTTAAATAAAGGGAGACCTCTCCTCCACTAATCCTCTACTTTAGTCTAGTTATATTTTTACGATGGTACCTGGTTTACTAATTCTTTTACTGAACATCGAACAGAACGTCTAAGTTCTTCAGACAGCTATGCATATGCCAAGATAGTTCATACAAAATGGAACATAGCTAGTTTTTCTTTGTACACTCTATGCACATATATACATATATCGATTTCGTTAAATCTATATAATACAGATGTCTAAACTTGTTTAAAGATATACATAGACTCGCATAGCAAACATACATCACGACATGATTGTCACCCGATTAAAGGACGGTCTTGCTTTGTACTGTCGATCAGGAATCTGCGGGCCGTCTTCCCTGCTAGCGAAATCTAGGAATATCCATGCAGTTAGAACTCTGTAACATAAAATGTATGTCCTATCTATATCTTACATGCTTTCCTAAACTCTTTAGTTGTTTAGCCCACTGTGGTTTGATTCATAAATAAGTAACCACAACTATGAAATCTACCATTATATTGATGGTTGCAGGCTCGTAGGATAATGACTCACCTAAACCACCATTACTTATGCCTCAGCCGGTTCTGGGAGTGTAATCAATCGGGATGCAGAGTCGTACTCCAACGTAGTGCCACAACTGATGAACAAGCACAGCGATAAATGCTGCTCAGCATATAATAAGCCCGAATGCCTACAGAATCTGATATTAATAATGGAAGGCATACCTTGTACATTTTACACTGTTTTTTGAACCACCGCTAGACACTGATAATATGGTCCCGAAGAAGGAAAGATTTTCAGTCCCACAGTTTGGACATGGGCCCTGGAAAAAAGAATAATCATCTATGTGCGCTCCAATTAACCACGCAATAATGTATGAAAAATAAAAAGGAAAAATACCTTCAAAATCAGAAAGTCTTTCACTATGACATTAGTGATTGCCTGTGCTACCCAAAATATTAAAGGCAGTGCAGCAAACCATGTGAAGATGAAACTGAAAGGCTCTGGCAACTGCATAAATAAGAAAAATGCAGTTACAAAAAATTAAATTTCTTGGCTGGCACAAACACCAACTAAAGAACCTACAGTATAAAAAAGTTATTTCAAATGTGGCATTCATGACAAGAAGGATGTCTATCATCATTGCATTAGGGAGAAGAAATTTTTAGAAGTAAAACACATCCACACGCGCACGCACACACTGTAAGTTACATGCTTGCCATGGTCTAGAATGAAAAGACGACCGCCGTTAATTTTTATCAGAACTCTCAAATACAAGTCTGATCTGTAATATTGCGTCAAAAAAGTCTAATCTGTAATAAGTTGGTCTCAGAAACAACTAACCAGGAAATAACTGCATTATCTTTGTTGAATTATTTCTATTCCTTCTTAACTTCAATCTATCATTTTCTTGATGCAAAGAAAAAATAATCAGTGGTAAAAACAAGTGGAATAAATTGGTTGCGTGCACATTGCTTCGTCGGCCGGTCTGATTGCCTAGCATGAATGTTTGAACAGTTTGGACCGGTTTGGGAAAAAAAAAACATTGTTCAGAGCTAAGGCCAAGCTGCTCACTTTATGCAGGAAAAATATGATGTCATAGGAGGGAACTTTTTAATATAAGAAAATGAATTTCCACTAGCCTGAGGTGACGTGTTATTACATCTCCAAAAGGGTTAACTTAATAAGCAGCACTGCAGCAGCCCACACCCACTACAGCACCACTAGAATCATCCACAATGGAACCCCCAATTTTCAACTTCCAGGCTTCCAGCTCATGAGAAACAACTTTCAGTATACTACAAGAAATTATCAAGGATAGTGAAGTACTATTATAGAATTTCTTAATTTTTGTCCAGAAGCCTAAAGCCCTAAACAAAAACAATAACATATAGTAAGACTTCAATTTGCCAATACTTTACCTCAAGAAGAAATGTGATTTCAAATCCCGTCAAATCATCCAAGAAGAAGAATCTGTCAAGAAGAAAACGTGCATTAGACATCTTAGAGTTGTTAATGAAGATAGTATCCCTCCTAAAACAATAGCATATTGGGCTGCGGTGTAACATGACCATTTGAAATCAGGAGAATTTAAGCAATCTCTTTTTATTCCTTTCATGCTAGAATTTCCATGTAACACTCACAGTGTCAGAGCTACCACAGCTGCTGGAACATTTAGCAGCAACATCTTGAAGTAGTCAACAGTCAAGTCACTGTAGACCTGCACAAAATTCCATAGAAGGTCAGGATTCTTCGAATTGATCAACTCACGTTACTTAGCAAAATCAGTGAAAATGGGAAAGTCACGTCTAATCCTAACTATAGTGTAAACTCATCTGACTTGGCTGTGTGATACTGTTTTATTAAATTTCCTGGTCTGTTTACTTGGTAGTTGGTACAAGAGACCTACAAGATAATGTTTCTCATCTTTGATTTCAAGGTGGGGACTTAATATCACAGAAGATTTCACCCATTACATTAGAAAACTAAATATAAAAAATTGTATAAATAAATATAAATAAAGCATAACTCAAGATTTAACCCACTAATAATGTTCAGTTACAGTTCACATGGTATAGAGGCTGAACACTGTCAGGCTTTTGATCACTAAAGGAAGCATAAACAACATATTGTGAAACGTTCGGTGGCAAGCTAATGAAAGGTCTGATAGACATAATCTGTTGCTCCCATCTCTCTCTTGACTGGTCAGCACAGCTGTCCTCTCCTGGTTTAGGAGATGGAACTGGTCGGCTCGGCTGACCACTCACTGTTGTTGCAGCAGCAGTGAGACAGTAGGTAGAAATGGCTTACTTCAGCCATGTAGTGTAGAGATGGCTGAGCTAAGCCTTGTACCTTAGGAGTAGGTAGTTAGTGTACTCACCAACAACTATGTACCTTAGGAGTAGTTAGTTGGTGTACTCACCAACAATCATGTACCTAGTAGAGGTACAGCTAAAGTTGTATATATTTCATCCAAAGACAATGTAAAAACTCAGTTCAGTTTGCCACATCCAGAAGCAGAGTTTTTAGCCAGCGCTGGGCTTGTGCTGTGTGTGTGAGCTGTTCTCAATATCTTCTTCTACCTCGAGGGACCAACAAGGTCCTAATCTTCTGATAGTAAGGAAATAAACTATGCCTTTCTTTCCAATGTGTGTTGTCATGAAGAATAAATGACAAGGATAGTAAATTGAATGATTATTTTTTAGAAAATAAAGACTTATAAGTGAACAAGTAGAGGTAAAAAATCATGGAGGCAGTACATACCTTTCGACTCCGTAGGCTGCATCTTGGACCTTCCTGTACAATGTCGCTTCCTTCTTTCTAGAGAGGAGAAATTATCAAGGAAAATAATTGCAGATTAAGAATAATGCTTTATGTGCTTTTGTGCAATCATTGGGGATTTTTAGTAATAGGCTATTTTCTTAATGCTGCTACTTATGTTACTTTAAGTTGGTAATGACTTGCTATATTATTAGCGCCTCATTTTGTATACCACGCTATTCCCTCTCATCATCCTAAAAAAGAACTCATAATCACAGATGCAAAGAAGCTGGTGATGCACAAACCCAACTTCGCTTGTGGGATATCAAATTGACAAGTAAACAAAACAAATGTTTTCCCTTTTCATAACTCAGAAAGAGAACCAAGTTTGATCTTAGAGCTTGCATGCTTATTGTGCATTACCCCTGCCTCTATATGTATGTTATTTTTTCTGTAGAGTTTTTCCAAACATCTAAAGATGGCCTTTGGTGGAGTTTTCACAGCTCCAAATGACTTTTTCTCCATAAGATATTTTTCTCTGCTTGCTTTCTAGTTGTTCTAGTCACATACTTGAGAAATAGAGACAGATTAACATCAACTATCCTTGGTAAGTAAATTAAAGGAGGAAAATTGGTTGGTAGGGACTAAGAATTGCACAAAATCGCTTCAGCTTTTCAGATAGCATATCACACCATCATCGCACTAGCTAAAGATTCACAGGATAACAAGAACAAACCTTTAGTCTCAACTTTAATTCATCGAATTCTTCATCCGTCATGATGGGGTTGCCAGAGACATATGCCATGGAGGCTTCCAAAAGCTTTTGCTCATCTGCGCCTAACCAAGGCAAAAGCAAACGAACATTGATTAGGAATTGGCATGAGCAAATCATTTCTGCGCGCTCGAGACAAACAAAAAATGCTGAATGCCCTGGCATCTGTCTCACTGTTATCCCACCAACATCGAACTTACTTAGCATCACAACGCTGCTTCCTTCCCACATGAGCTCCTCCTTGAGGTTATCGAACTCCTCGTTGGACATGATCGCCTTCTGGTCGTAATAGAAGGCCTATATATACCAATAACACCATGAACAACAGCAACTAAGATTATGTACTAATTCGACTTTTTACCAGCAGGTATCAATCAACAGGATAAAAAATGGGTACGCGCAAGGCGCACGTGCCTGCAGCGCCTGGAGAAACTCCTGCTCCATCTCCCCGATGGTCTTCTTCTTCTGCTTGCGGTCGATGCTGCAGTAGGGGAGCACGTTGCTGTCCACCACCTCGTTGTCCACCTCCTGCTGCTGCACTACCGGGCCCTGAGCCTCGCCCTCGGAGGCGCGAGGCCGGCACCGGCCGCGGGCGCGGGCGCGCGCGGGCACGGCTGCCGCCGCCGCCCCGACGCGGCACCGCGGGGAGGTGGACGCCGCGGCGGCGGCACGGGGCAACCGGCGCAGCACCGGTGGAGGGAGGGGCGAGGGCAGGCGGCACGGTAGGGAGAGCCCCGCGTCGGAGGCCATGGCGGCGCGCGCGGCGGATCGGCGGGGGCGGGGGCGGGATACCTGCTAGCTGGCTTGCCGGCGACACGGAGGGCGAGAGGAGGAGGGTGGCGCCCGCGCGCGGGAGATACTTTCTAGCTGCGTGTGGCGCGGAGGGTCCGAAATGCATGCGAAGGGATAAAGCGGTGGAGCGAATCGGAGATGCGTGGTCCAGGTCCAGACACTTGGTAACGGAAATAAAGCCTTCGCCGCCGTCAATCGAACTCGATTTGCATGCAACGACCGATGGAAACAAAGCCTTCGCTGACACCCACTTGGGTCTCCATCCCGTCTCCGTCCGTCCGGCCCATCCCAAAGGGCGCGACGGCGACGCCTCCGCCACGTACAAAACGCTTGCTGTCGTAGCTAGCGAGCGGCTAGTGTGTATAAGTCCCTGTCTGTATGGACGTGTGCAAAAAAAATCAATGGAGAATCTAGAATAAATTGTTACCGGGTCAGTAGTCGGCACAAACTAATATGACCAACAAAAAAAAACATCCAGTAATCTAACGCTATGGTCTATACACAACATAGATATACTCCCTCGGTCCCACAATAGAAGTCATTCTTGCTTATCGAGAAGTCATTTTTTTTTAACTTTAACCAACTATATATGAAAGAATATTAATATTTATACTACATAATTAGTATCAATAAAGAGATCGTTGAATATACTTTTATAATAAATTTATTTGGAGATATAAATATTGCACGTATTTTCTACAGACCCAGTTACAATTGAGAAAGTTTGACCTGCACGCATCCCATAACGGCTTTCTTTCGGGATGGAGGAAGTATGTCTTTGGTGAAGAGATCGCTGCTAGTGATAAATTACATATATACCCCTATAAAGATGTTATCATTGCACTTTAAAAAAGAGAGAAAGTAGAAAAAGATAACTAGAGTTAGGTTGTCTTATACCTAGAGATGCGTTTATTTGGGGATAAATTTTAAATTCTAAAAGTGCACTTATTATGGGACGGAGGAGTAAATATTAATGATAACAACATATTGCACAAGTCAAGCATTCATATGGAGTGATAAAATTAGCAATATCATAATACGACAAAATAAATTCTTTACAGCAGTGCTTACATCTTGTAAATTCACTCTACGAGTGCGGTCATTCATATTTTGAAAGCCAACTATCACAACATCATTTGGGATTGCATCAAAAAATTCTTGTTCCACCAAGCAAATGTCACAATTATTCATAAATTCATTTGTAATACGATTTGGTAGATCTGTCTTCACAATTTTACCTTTTCTATTGATGTTGTGGCGGTAGGAGGAACTAACACAAGTTTGAGCGATCGATATAGCAAAGGAAAAGCAATATGGGTGTGTTTGGTTGTTTGGCTAAATTGTGGCCTGGCTAGAAATAGAGCCCGGCTAGTATGGGGCTGCCTCTTTCTAGCCAACATGGGCTTGTTTGGTTGGGTTGCTGTACCTGGTCCGTTGAGCTGAGATGTTGTTTGGTTGGGTGCATTAGGTCCAGGCTAGCCTAGTGGAGCCAACACGGGCTGTGTTTGGTTTGTTGACCAACCTAGGGTCCATTCACCTTGTTCTAGAATCGGTAGACTTACCACCGCGACCGTACGCCATAAAAGCCACCCACCCGCCCACTCATCTGTTCTCACCTCATTCGCTCACCGCTTAGTTAGCTCTCTCGTCTCCCACTCACCGTCCTCTCACCTTCCCTCTTCTCCCTCGGTGCTGTCACCGTCGAGGCACCCGAACCGCTAAGATGAGCGACCACCCCACCGCCGAGGACTCCTTGGCCGTGCGCTGCGCTCTGGGCCGGTGCAATGGTGGCTCCGGTTGCGCCTGTGCCTTGCACTCGGCGTCTCCACTTCGTTCCACGCCCGCTGGGTCCCCGTCGAGGAGCCGCTCGGCGAGGAGTGACGAAGGGGACTCCGTCGACTCGTTGGACAACAGCAACAGCGAGCAGGTGGCCGCATCTGAGGTATACCTCCATTCCCCTTTCTTGTTTGACCCTAGGGTTTTACTTCCACTGGCCAAAACACATTTTTTCGTGTAATCTCCCGTCGATTGATCTTTCGTACTTCAATCTACAAATGAATAAAGGCCAAGATACACATTTCTGCTGGAATCATAAGCGAGATTTAGGGTTTCCCCTTTTTGCCTGTCTGTTGAATTTCCTTTGGTACCAAATTTAGGCCATCGATGAGTTAGAATCGTCCTAGTGTAGTGTAGAGTAGATTTGATCAGAAATAGCGGGTTGCTTTTGCAGTGGTGACCAATTTTAGTTTTTAACCCTTATGTCTATAGGGCAACAGCGAGACCTCCATCCCTGATGCTGTCTATAAGCATGATTAGAGTGGAATGCACGTTGTCAGGATTAAGAAGTGTGAGCATGGTCATCACGCTGTCATGAAGAAATGCTGGGGGGAAGAACACTGGTAGGCGCTTCTTGGGTTGCCCATTGGAGGTATTCCAAACACTTGTTCCTTTATTCTTGCAGTTCAGAATACAGTTCTTGCTGTCCTACTAATATTTTGTTGTGCTTGTCCTAGGAGGAGGGTGATTAGTGCCAATTTGTGGAGTGGTTGGATGAACCAAGGCCAAAAAGGGTATAGGACAACCTCAAGCAGTTGTGGAAGGAGCTGAAGGTTACCAGGCGCTGCGAAGCAAGGGCAAATGAAGCTTTGCATGACGCCCTAGAGACTAGTGACACTACAACGCTGGCTAGAGTTGCAATGCAGGAGGAAGTGAATCGCACCAAATGTGTGGATCAGCGTATCTGTGGCACCTACGAGAGGAAGGTTGCCGTTGCTGTGATCGACAAGAGCAAGATGATGTACCTAATCTACTGCCTTCTTGGAGTGATCGTCTTCCTTGTGGTTGCTATCGTATTCAAGGCCAAGTGATGGACAAGACCTGGACATGGTAAAATGGGGTTCATCTATTTTGTTGATGGACCAAGTGTCATGGTGTCAGGCAGTCTTAGGTAGTTTCAGTAATGCTGTAAGGTTAGTAGTGGTATGGTGAACTGGATGGATGTTTGGTGTCAGGTCTTCGGTTGAACTTGGTTTGCTAGAAATTGGCATCTTTTGATTGTGCTCATTTTAGTTTGTGGCAACTGAATGATGCACCTCTTGCTATTGTAAATGGTTACTAAATGGTATGTGTAGAAATGTGCTAAGGGTAGCACTCTATGCTCAAACTGATGACTGCCATGAAATGGCATTTTTGCTTGTGCCCAATGTCAAGTCATTGGTGCACGTTTCATGTAAATATTGCAGTATTATGAAATGGAACTCAGATGCTAAGTTCTAAATGCTTATTAGTCATAATGTTTGGAGTGGTTCCTGATTGCACTTGGTCTTTCCATTACACTTGCACATACAGCTTTGTACATACTACTTGTACAAATAATACGTCTGCATGAGTACAACTGCGATCAAACAACACAAGACGACGTCATTAACACAGAATTGAAATCCCTGGTTTCCGTTCTTGTCTTCCTTGACAATAGGCTCTGCAACTGGTTTCTGTTGTCCATGGTCCCGAGTTCTTGCTTCTCGAAGTGTGCATAAGCCTCCACAGCCTCCCTTCTTGTTGCATAACTGGAGTGAAGGTTACCTGGGTAACCTGATACCTCGCGGTTACATTCCATCCACGTGGTATACACCCCAGGCTTGCATCCCTTGAACACAACATAGAACTTCATGATTTCCACTGCATTCACAAATGCAAATACAATTCTCAGCACACATGTAATCATAGTTCATAGATCAAGCACATATATTCATAACTGCATCCAGACATCGATAAGATCAAACATTCAGGTCTTACAGATGGATTGTGAAACATTAAGCTACATTTAGTTAAACAATGCATAATGCAGCAGCAGATCATGAAAGCTAACTAAATAGTTCCCAACTATCATAATCTACCTAGAAATGGTCATCAAGTTCACTATTACATCACATGTAATTAGTCAAAAATGGGTTGAACTGCCACATTACATGCATTTCATCACAGCATGTCTTCTTTACTGGAAGGCCATTTGGCCTCTGATCTTAGCCAGATGGGTGTTGATCCATAGCTCCTTGTCAGATGGTGACATCCCCACAAAGACCACTGCAGGGGCCTTGTGCTCCATCGGTAGTTCAGGCACAACATCAAGTCGGTCCTGGCAAAGTTTGGGCACCCCATCACTGCCTCATATATCCCTAGAGCTACCTCAGAGTGGTTTCCTTCACTTATGGCTGCACCTAGTCCCCAGACAGCATCTGTCATTCCACTCATTAGGGCTGCATCTTCATCACTAAGAACCCTCTTCCTCTTGCCTAGCTTCTTGTCTTCCTGCTTCTCCTTGTGTGAAGGCCCATCATCTTTGGTAGCAGCAGGTGCATCAGCTTCTAGGTCAATACTTTTTGCCTCAGCTGGTTGTCCAAGTGCTTCATTGGAGCCTGAAAGCATCTAGGCCCCTAATTGGGTTTCGGGGATTAATGACAATGTTAGATTACTGTGACTAACGTGTGTTTTGTAGAGGCAATTAAGTTAGGTCACGGTAATGGAGATCGATTGGGCAATCATGGTTGTCATGCCCCTACGATGGAAATCGTTTCGGTTTTCAAAGGATGGACGACAAGGTTAAGGATGACTAGTTCTAAGTGTCGATTGGAATTGAAGAGACACTTAGAGTAGTTTAGGACTTTGTATTTCCTTTGGCCGTACTATTAAGGGGGGTATGGATGGGTAGCTTGACCTAGATGAGTCTAGTGAGTTAGGTGTGGTGCACACTTGTTAAAACTAGCGCTAGGTAGCTCCTACATATGCCTAAGATCCAATGGAGCAAACTTCATTCACGTATGATCGAGAGTTGGAAGTGAATGGAGGGTCAAATACTAACCGGACGTTGGCTCCGGTGCGACCGAACGCTGGCCATAGGGTCCGGTCAGTTTATTTGATCAAGAGATTGCGTCTGGCGCGATCGGACGCTGAGTGGTCAA